CAAAAAACATTCAAAGAATAAAAAGGGGAGCCCCGTAAAGCTTTAACGTAACCCACCCATAACCTCACTTGATAAAACAATCAAAAGGTGAGTGCATAAGGAAGAAGTTAAGTTTCTGCCCAAAGGCAAATAAAGATGAATCACACAGAGCTTTACACAAAAATATGTTTGCAGAGCTAATATTTTCACATGCTACTTGGACATTCATGAAATTTATTCTACTTGGCTTAGTGGCAGAATTCATGGTTTGGGATACCTGACCCAGGAACATGCTCCATTCATAGGGATCCCCAGTAAAAACAGTGGGATCATGTAATACCAGTGAGAAAAGAGGGATCCAACCCTGATTAAGTGTCAGCATGTTGGCTACTTCTAGTTACTCCAACCACGCTGTCTGTCTGCAAATAATGTTTTGCCCTACACTCCTCCCTTTTAACACCAAGTATCAATGGTTGCTCAAACACATAAACCAATGTGTTTGGGCATCACCTAGTTGCAAATAACCATTATGGTACAAACTGCCAGGCAGAGGAGGAGATAACACTGTAACTGATGCATGTGTGTGAACTCCAAACGGGGTTTAACCTAACGCTGTTGACAGGAGAATTATGTCCCTTCAGTGCATCTACATTCTTGGTCTAATTGTTTTCTTTTAGAGTTTTGAAGTGACGGAAAAGCATCAATCAGTGCATTCATTATAGCTCATCTCCCAGGTGTTTTTTTTTGAAAGCATCACCTGTTAGCTTCTCCTGGGCCTCCTTCATGCCTTGGACAACTGAAAGATTAGAAGAAGAGGTATCAGCTATTAAGCTCAAGATGAAAACATCAAGGTGAACTGGTAATTATGTGTTTTAAAACAGTTACAGAATACAGGTCTACAAAGTAACCTGTGGGTAAAACAGTCCTGCACCCTTTCCCAACTGTCTGTGGCTGGATCACATGGATTGTATGATTTTCCATGACTTATCTGGAGACAAAGTTTAGGTCCTATAGACATTCTAGTAGGTATGAATGTGAATCGTGATTCTGAATATGGCTCCTAAAAGCGTAAGAGAACCACTCACTCATGTGGTACCTAACAGCTGCCAGTTCTGCTGTGAAGTATCATCATTTTTCTCCACTCAAAAGTGAAGGTGTGTCCTCCACCTAGAGTTTCATCTCATTAAAAATGCATTTCAAACTCCTTTGCACATACCTTGATCAGCATTGGTATAGAAATACTTGTAGCTGGGGTTTCCCTTCTCATTTATGATTTCAGGGTGGACTTTTCCACTGGGGTCTATGAAACAAGAAGTCAAACATGACATTTAGGTGGTAACAACAAGAACCCAGTCCTGTGAGTGGACACAAGAGCTGTGGATGTCTTACCCATGAAAAGGATTCTGGGAATATAACCTCCATCAGGACTAAAGGCTTCATCCTTTGGCTCTTCATCATCCTACCACAGCAAGACAGAAGAGAGAACATATTAGCAAGATACCTAATAAAACACAGCACTCATTTTGAAGAAACAATCTACTGCCTTCAGATTTCATTTCCCTGAGCAATTTGGGGCTTGAACAGACACTAAGTAACTGCACTTGCACAGGAAGGATTATTTCTACCTAAACAAGTAACATTTGTGAAAATAGCATTTTTTTCTGTTCTGTCAATTTGTATTGAACACTCCACTTTGGTAGAGAAATGTCTGATGTATCAGGAGAGAATGAATATAAATCCCTTTATTGTGGCAACAGAATGACACAAGGTACAAACATTGTTAGACACAAGGTACATACATTGTTAGAGACAATGGCAGAGAGCCAGGTTTAGAAGCACAATTAAAATAACCAGACCAAAGAAAATCCTTCTTAAAACAATCAGCTCTATCAATCAGTCCTGAACACCTATTCAGGAGTGCAGGATTTAGGATGTACACAGAACAGGATATAATCAGTTAAGTAGGATTCCAAAGGTTTAATTATTAGGCAGTACCATGGATATGTATCAGAGGGCAGCCTACCTCAAGGTTGACCATGACAAAATTATGGGCAAGTTCAGAGATCTCCTTGGATTCAGCAAACTTTGGCTTCAGAGCTATTGAAGGGAGAAAAAGAAGAGGTGTGTAAAGGCAGTGGAAAGTATTTCAGGTCAGCATCAGAATCTCAGCTTCATCCCTCCCTCTGCAGAGCTGGTGCTTTTCAATAAGCAGTGAGTAAATGGAATATACGTATCCAACCGTTCCAGGCAGGCTCAGGCAGCAGGTAACTGAAGTACTCTTTGCTGGGCAGCCATATGATGAAGCCTGGCCAACAGACATATGAGGTAATACTGGAACCAATGGAATAGAAGCTAAAAGCTTCCTGTAAACCACTATTCTCACCAGCTCACCCTTTCAGCTTAGTCATTATGCCCAGCTTGCTTACTTGCAACACTCTCCTTTGAAGGAGTAAGGCAATTTACACTGAATTCTTGAAGGTTGTTCATTCTGTTCCATTTTTTACAGCCAAGTGCTGTACTACAGATGTTATTTTGCTGGCATTTAGGCATGGCTGGCTTTTCAGTGCTAATAGGGAAAGCAGTGCGATATTATACTGCTCTACATGAAATACAAATACCATTAGCTACATTTTAAGTGCAAAGTTCATGCTTCTCGTGGTTACATGCTTGGTATGCAAAGCCCATAGGAAATTTCAAGCCAGCTCTGGTATTAAACACACTTACCTTTGCAAGCTCCACACCATGACTTGTGGATGATAACCATAAGAGGCAAACCACTAAAAAAAAGGCAAGTAAGCAAGAAGATAGTCAAAGAAAGCTTATAGTTAAGCCTCTAAAGCAAATTCATGTACAGTTTAACAGTTGAGACTTCTATGAGCCTAATGTAACCAAAAATGAGAGATGTAAAGAGTGTGTTCTAAGGTTGTCTTGCAAAAAAGCCTTCCTAATCTTAAAACATGTATATTAATAATGCATTATAACTGGCAGCCAGCAACTGCTCGTGGAGAGGAAGAGACTTTCTCTTTGGAGAGCATGCTCCTACTAGGCCGGATATGCTCAGATCCACAACTGATTATGTTTTGTACTGGAAGTGGTTAGTGACAACAGCTGCTTGAGACACCTCAGGATGGATTTTCATGGCTGCTTAAGGTGATCCAGTGGATGAGAGTCGTGTATCTATTCCTCTCCCCTTTATGGTCTGTACCTTTCAGTCACCTCCTGTGACTGAGACCCTCCATTGAGCAGTAATCAAACACAGTAACCCAGCAAACCCCTGCCTGCCAGGCTAGCCTCCTATGTGTTGGTACACTGAAACAGATCCGTGACAAACGTGACAAGTGTCAGGACTGAGAAGGACTGGGACTGGGGGGGCTGTGTAGAACTGCAGCCTAAATAAGCATGATGCAAAAGGACCAAAGTTATTCTTTACTATTCTCTCTCCCTTCCCAAAGAATTCACTTGACCCCTATTATATATGCTTAAACCAGGGATTAAGTTTCCACTGTCCTATGTTTTATTTAACCTTGTTCATCAAAGATGCCTTCAGCATTTCACCTTCTGATGAAGTCAAGCTTTAAATTTCCTTAAGTTCCTTTACAGTATGTACAGGCTGTATTATGAGCTTAGCGAGAGAGGCCTTAAAGACACTATAAATTTCACCTATTTCCTGTCCTTAGCGCTGGTGATCCAATGAATCCACCACTTCACTGCTCCTGACTATTCTGTATCAATTGCTTCTATCATCCAGTTGAACTGGTGAATCCTGACTATGGTAATAAACTAAGGAACACTAAGAACAAGGAACTGGGAATCTCCTCCCTTTTCTCTTACCAATAAATCCATTAAGCTATGGCAAAATATCCAAGAGAAGCTGGTAATAATGATATAGGTTCCAGAACAGTAAGAACAGCCTAGAATTAGGTGAAGCAAAGGAAGGAAACTAGAGAGAACATACTGCATGGGTGCTTCTTTCAGCATATGCCAAGCAAAGCAAAACGTAACCTTTCTGCTATGTAAGCTCTGTAACCATATTAAGGGTTAAAAATAAAGCAGCACTTTCACACAGAGAAATTAAAAATGCCATTGCACAGAATGGCAATAAATTAATTACTACCAGAATGTATAACTTTAGCTGTGGATAGATGTGAAAGGAAATCTCTACTCAGCAGCAATTATGGCCTTCAGAAGCAGGAAAGGGTGGAGGGGAAGCCATTAACATTTAGAGGAGCTCAAACAGAAGCCATTTATAATTAACCAGTATGTTATCACCTTTACATAGGACTCTGCAGTAAGGAGCAAGAATACACATCTTCCTAGTAAAGCTTGTATTGCATCAGCATCCTCCCCCTGATGATGAAAAAGCCCTTTTTAATTGTTTCCATACAATCCAACATGATTTTGCCTCTTCCTTCAAGAGGGGCTGATTTAAATCTGGAAACACACTTCATACAGTTAAGAGCAGCTTTCAAAGCAGATTCTAAATGGAAGTACTCAATCCTGAAACACCAAGTCTTAATCAGTGAGAACTCACCAAAGGTGGATACCCTGAATGTGTTTTCTCATCTTTATTCTCTTTAATTTGACAGGTAAACTCAACTAATTTACATCAAAGCGTTCTTGTAGTGATTTCTCAGTTCTGCAGTACCCTAGTCCACCTATGTCAGATAAAGAGCCGCTGTAACTGAAGTAACCCTTCCTGCCCCACTTCACCCTCTCCTCCCAGGTAGCATTACTCATGCCATGAAAATCAAAAGCCACAATTTATTAAAATGAGGAAGCATCCACCAGAGTGAAAAGTTTATAATGAGCTATAGATGGGGTACAGCCAAGACTGGGATTGTTTGAGCACAAAACTAAGTCACCTATCACAGCTGGCACAGGCTTTCACCTAGAACCCTTTTCCTACAAGAGCACTCAATAATTAGCATTTTAAAGGTGCTTAATGATGACCTTGTAGATAAAAGACACATCGAGTTATTTCAATGACATGGTCCCCCAGGCAAATTAAGACTTTACTCCACTTAAGGCACATATTTTATTGTTAAATCTGAAACAGAGAGGTCTGAGTTTACTAAGCCAGCACCCTTCTGCAGTGCAGAGTTTGCAAATCTATCTCTTGGGTTCAGTGGGATTTTTTGATACAGTCACATCCTAACAACACACCCTGTTCCAGTCCTAGACCTGAAGTCTCTTCTGCAGTTTGACATCACCTGGAGACGTCCTTGGAAAAACAATCTTCTTATTCAAGACATACACATGCTAATGTGGAGAGGTAAAGTCTTCCCTATGGTCAGTGCCTTCTGGGCTTCCATGTTCAGATACTGTTTGATTACTGACGTTTACATCTCCATAGGAGACTTCACTTGCTTGAAGATGCAACAGTGGCTCTCCTTTTTGGAAGATAAAAGTGGGGCAATACAGAGGGATGGGGGACCAGCATCCCCAAAAGGATGCTCTCAGCGGTATAGCTTGCTGGCTACTGATGCGATAGATGGGGTCCAGGCTCTGCAGGGTCTGTGGCCTCTGTGACTGGACCACGGCCGCTGCTGTGCGGCTCACCGGATGCTGCGGCTCAGGTACTGCAGGAACATGCCCGCCAGCTGGGGCAAGTTCTCATCCCTGGGCTGCATCTTGGTGTAGCTGATGAACTGCCGCCGCAGCCGGCTCAGCTCGGCCATGCTCACCGGCCGGCTCAGCACCAGCCCTTCACTGACACCGGGCACACGGACCATCTCCCCGGGCTGCGCCCCGCTCCTCTGCGCGTCCATGACGGCGGCCAGCACCTCCTGGGTGACACGGTCGAGCTGGTGCAGGAAGCTGGAGGACTGCAGGGGCTGGGTGCGGGTGGCGCGGTGCGGCGGCGGCGGGGCGCTGTCGAACAGGACGGCGCGGATAGCGTCCAGCGGCAGCGGCTCCTCCCCGTGCACGGTGAACAGCGGCCGGTCCCACCGGTTCTGCGGGTCCGGCGCCTCGAAGGGCGGCTCGTCGGGGCGGCCCGGGCCGCCGGCGCAGTGCAGGAGGCAGCGCGCCGTGCCCGCCTGCCGCGCCGCGCAGTACAGCTCGTAGCGGATGCTCCGCAGCTCGTTACCCGCGTCCACGATCACCACGTCCCGCCGGCTCAGCCGCCGCTCCACCTCAGCCCTCAGCGCCGATCGCCCGCCCTCCGCCTCGGCCACGACGTGCGCCTGTCGCTCCGGCCCGCCCAGCGCCGCCTGCAGCTCCGAGGCGCGGCGGCTCTTGCCGCTGCCCGGCCGGCCGCACAGCACCACCAGCGGCATCCCGCCGCCATGCCGACCCGGACGGGCACCGCGACTGCTTCCGCCACGGTCACTCCCCGCCCCGGTCGCCCCGGCAACCGCGGCGTGTGCAGGCCCTGCCGCCGGGGAGCCGCATGGAAACCCGCCTCGCAGCCCCCGGGCTCGGGTCCGGCACTACCCAGCGGCCAGCGCATCAGCCGGACAGGGTGTGGGCATGGCCGGGCCTCAGCCCGCGGCCGGTGCAGGGACACTGTCCCCGAGGTGTCGTGGTTAAGTCGCCATCGCACTGCGGTCACCCCGAGCACCACACACCGGTCGCTGTGCGATTGCTGGGTCCGGCACACAGAGAACTTAAACCCAAGGCGTCTTCAGCGTCTCTAACACATCCAGATTGACCAGTCCACAGAAATGAAATAGAGGCCTTGAAACCTCCGAGACCCCTGGCTCTGATGCATCTCACTCGATGCGTAACAGATAACTTCGTATCATCTCCTGGCCTATGGTCAGACTTAGACCAAAAGTCTGGTTTTTAAGTTTATCTTCCATTTGTTGTTGTTGGGTTTCTCCCAGTCCTTCAATTCACTAACACTCAAACGCTGCCAAACTCAAACCACGGAATCCCAGGCTGGTTTGGGTTGGAAGGGACCTTAAAGCTCGCCCAGTTCCAAACCCGTGCCACAGGCAGGAACACCTTCCACCAGAGCAGCTTGCTCCAAGCCCCATCCAACCTGGCCTTGAACACTGCCAGGGATGGGGCAGCCACAGCTTCTCTGGGCACCCTGTGCCAGTGCCTCAGCACCCTTACAGGGAAGAGCTTCTTTTATGCATTTAATAATATATATATTGCCCATATATATGTAGGTAAAATACAAACCAGCAAGCAGGTCTGTGTTTCTTTTCCAGTAACAAAAGGAGAGACGGGTGCATTACACCTGTCCCTTGCTGCGGGGCAACACTCACCCTGCCTAAACCTGAGAGCTCCCTCCTCCTCCGTCTCATTTTACAGCTTCTTCACCTTCGCTGCAAAGGAATGCTGCAGTTCTTCCTGCAAATACTGAGATCATTTATTTTCTTGCACAAGGAAATCAAACAAGTGCTAAAATATCCACTAATAAAACCTTGTGAGGCTTCTGGACTGTACCACCTGGGTTAATTTGGTGTCTAGAGTGTAGAACTTGCCAGATGGATCAGTTTGAGAGCAGAATTCAATTAAGCAGCAAACCTGGAAGGCACCATGAACTTCTGCTCATGCCAGCACTGCCAGATCTAGGGTGTACATTTTAAAGTGTGAGTGGAATTTATAAGCATACGATTTTCCTTCTGACATTTTAACAAGAAACAGAAGAAATTCTGAGGGGAAAAAATGAGTCTGGATGTCTTTGCTTTTAACCTTTCCATAGGGACAGTATTCCTTTTAGAGTTTAAGCTTAACCCAGAAGAGGTTCTACTTAAACAACTCACCTCTTCACTACTGTCTGAAAGTTTCCAACTCTGTCTGCAGATGCTAACAAAGTAATTCTCTCATCTCACACTGAATTCTCATCTATACAGGCACACTGAATTTTACCCAATTACTGTTACTCACACTGCTGAGTTTGAGCAGAGTAAGTACTACTAAAACATGTGTTTGTGGGGTTGAGAACCACCTCTTTCTTTACTCTAAATACTCAAGTATTTTCTTCTCAGTTTAAAGACATGCTAGGACTTCAAGGTTAGGTTGGACAGGGCAACATGGTCTAGTGTGAGGTGTGCCTGCCCATAGCAGGGAGGTTGGAACTGAATGATCTTAAGGTCCTTTCCAACCCAAACCATTCTGTGATTCTGCGATTTCCATCATTTAATTAGACTGCAGTGATTAAACCATGGTGGTGCTTCAGCAAAGTTAACAACACTGTATTTTCTCTCTAACAAGCTATAGGGATCCAAACAGTCCCCTAAAACACTTTCATGTTTGCTAATAATTACTATTTTCTGTGGCTAAATTTAGGATTAATACAGAACTGCATTCAGAGGAGGCCACAAAGATGCTTGTAGGGCTAGAGCATCTCTGCTATGGAGCCAGGCTGAGAGAGCTGGGCTGGGTCAGCCTGGAGAATGCTCTGGAGAGACCTTAGAGCAGCTCCAGTGCCTAAAGGGGCTGACAAGAAATCTGGAGAGGGACTTTGGACAAGGGCCTGTAGTGACAGGACAAGGGGGAATGGCTTTAACCTGCCACAGGGGAGACTGAGATGAGCTCTTAGGCAGAAGTTCTTCCCTGTGAGGGTGCTGAGGCACTGGCACAGGGTGCCCAGAGAAGCTGTGGCTGCCCCATCCCTGGCAGTGTTCAAGGCCAGGTTGGACACAGGGGCTTGGAGGAAGCTGCTCTAGTGGAAGGTGTCCCTGCCTGTGGCAGGGGTTTGGAACTGGATGAGCTTTAAGGTCTCTTCCAACCCAAACCATTCTATGGTTCTGTGAATGTTTTTAAGAAGATGTCTCTGTATTTAAAACTAACATACCTGGCTGCTGCCTCTTTCTTCCCATCTTCCAGTGTTCTCCAATGGATATGATCTCCAAAACCTGCCAGAGAGAAGGGTTTATAAATGCTGCACAACTTACTGCGTCAACCAACAGAGGAAATCAGTCCAACCCTTAAGAATATTTCCAACTCATTTTATGTGTTTTTCTTAAAGCCAACTGTACTCCCAGTCCTGGAAAGACTTCTGCAATTACTTATAACCTACATAGGCTTATGAGGAATCCCACTGAAACTAATTAGCAAAAACATACCACTCTCATGAATATTTGATATACATGCAAAAGACACCAAAATCCCTTAAGCAGAGATTAATAGTGAAAGGCCTTCTGATTATTCCCCATTCTTTTTCAGACTGTGAACACTTATTAACTGATTAGTGACACATTAAACATGTCAGCATGTGGCTTTCAAACTCCCATTGAAGGTGAAGTAAAGGAAGACTTAAAAATTCTTAGGACAACATCTGATCATCAATTGCTCTGAAATGATGGTGCTAAGTATTAGTGATGATGATCTCATCCAAGAGCAAGGAAGAGCACCAGTACACAGATGTCTGTTACAGTGATGGAATGACGCAGGGAATATTTTATCCCCTTTCCAGATAACAAATCTGTTGTGTCAGTTGAGATAATGGTGAATGAGTGTACATTTGACAACTGCAATACAGGGACCACAGGGGGTTTTGATCCTGTAGCCAACACAGCACATGGCCAAAAGCCACATGGAGAGCTGGGACAAAGTTCTTCGTATGGGACGCCCCTGGACAACCTCCTCAGAGGTCTCACAGCTCCTGTAATGCAGGGCAATGCTGGACAACCAAACATCAGCCTTGGTCTTCCCCTTCCCATCACTGAGGGTTTGGATTAGTCAGCAACCCCCAGTACTCAGCAGGTAGACTTTGGGAGCTACACAGGGGTCAGGAACCACAGACTGCCCGATGCTGATGCAGCGGAAAGTGAACATTGTGTCCAGTAGACAACTATGGCAAAGAAACAGGAGAAAGCCAAAAGCAGGGTGAGCAAAACCTCATGGCACCTTAGCTTGGCATCCGGGAGGCTTGAACAGCTGGCACAGGATTTTTATTACCTTATCTTACACCTGCTAGGAACGACTGTGAACATACATGATGCAACACAGTAAATATTGAGTTGTGCCAGCAGTGAAGCGGGGATGCCTTGTTCATGTCCAATCACACATACCAACTGCAGAGGCAGCTTCGGACACCAGGCTATGTTTGCACCCATGGAACGCAGCAGAGCAAAAACCAGCTGCATTAGCAAAAGTCACGTTTACTCAGAGTATTGACACGTCAGCTATTTCATTCAAAGGCCAATATGTTCCCTGTGAGGGTGCTGAGGCACTGGCACAGGGTGCCCAGAGAAGCTGTGCCTGCCCCATCCCTGGCAGTGTTCAAGGCCAGGTTGGACATAGGGGCTTGGAGCAAGCTGCTCTAGTGGAAGGTGTCCCTGCCCGTGGCAGGGATTGGAACTGGATGAGCTTTAAGGTCCCTTCCAACACAAACCAGTCTGGGATTGTATGTTAAACCAGGGAAAACCTATTGTGTGATCTAGGAAACACTTTTTGAAAGCTTTTATTTTTGCTTTTTTTTTAAACTAAAACACACTTCGTGGTGAGCTTCAGCACGTTTTTAAAAGCATTACACATCACATTAACGAGTGTTTCTTTTGAATGGAACTCATCTGAGGCGTTAAAAGGGAATGGCTGAGATCGCCACCACAAGGCTTTGCTCTCATTGATCGAACTGTGCTCCTACCAGCCCTGAAGAGATGGATTTATCTCCAAGACAGACTAAAGCCACGACCCCGGGGTGAAGCTCAGCGCCCCGGCACACCCTTACTGCACAAGCCATTAGACATGGCAATTACACAGGGAGGCCTCGGCGAGCCAGAGGCGAGGTGAGGAGCGGTCACGAAGGAAAAGGGAAGCCGAGGGCGGGAGGGCAGAGCCATTCATCGCCTGCCAGGCGCCGGCGGCAGCGGCCGGCAGAGCTTGGGCTGTGCTGACCCGGGCGGGTGGCACTGGGAGGCTGCTGCTCCTGTCTCCGCGCCACGGAAAAGCGGGACCCCTCCAAAGGGAAACTCCTCGAGAACAGAACCCCAACGGCAAAGATCGCGACAGGACCCCACCGTCTCCCTGTGCACTGGCAGGCCGGACCGTCCCCACCACCAGCACCCCGCGTCCCCCCGGTCCAGCCCGTCCCGGGGCACCCTGACAGGAGCGGGGAGGAAAACCCGAATAAAACGTATGTCTGACCCTTGCCGAGCCCCTCCGCGGCGGAGGCGGCGGATGCCGCCAGCACCAGGCACAGGCAGAAGATGGAGGCTGCGGCGGGCTGAGCCTTCATGGTGTCGGCGCAGGCAGCGCTCCGGCCCCCAACCTTTCCAGGCAGCACCGCACAGATAAGGTGGATTTTTTTCCTCTCTTTTTTCCCCTTTTTTTTTTTTTTTTTTAAAGCCCAGGAAGTGATGTGAGGCGGATGTGGGCGGCGCGATGCCCGCCCGTCTGCTCGGGGATGGCGGGGCAGGCTGAAAGGGGTGTGTGATACTGGGGAGTGGGGTCTCTGAGCCCTCTGAGGGGTGTCCGCCCCGGACGGGGGAGCTCAGCTTCGCGCAGGCAGCCCAAGCCTCTGGGGCGGGAGTCCCTCAGGCACACCGGGAAGCCCACAGCCGTGGTTATCCCCGTGGGAGCGGGCAGCGAGGGGCGGGCTCCGGGTTTACGTTCCCCTCCCAGACACATCCTTTTGTCCCGCTACTCTGCGGAGCTGCCCAGCCGGTTGGGGCGGTAAAACCGGCCGCAAGCACTTGTGTGTGAAGGAGGGCGCGCCGCGGTGGCGCGTCCGGAACCAGCACGTCCCGGCCCGACGGGGTGCGGGTCGGTGTAGGGCCGCAGGGACTCCGAGTCCCATAACACACCACAACCGCTGCGCGCGCCTTCCCGCCCTATATGCAAATAT